TGTGCAGCCTTCCTGCTCTCAGTCGTGGCCCCTGAGTACCAAACACCAGGCAGGAGGAGAGCACGCTCTCCACTGAAGAGCATTAGCAGCTCCTTGTCCAGGTTATTCTTCCTCAGGACACGGAACAAGCGCAGCCACTGCTGGGCCTTCTGGGCGATGCTGTTGTGGGTCTGGGTGAGATCAGCCGAGATGTGAGTGCCCAGAAACCTGAAGGTGGAGACAGATTCCACCTGTTCTCCATTTACAATGAGAGTGGACCTGTCTGTGCCTACTGAAGTCCATGATGAGTTCTTTGGTTTTAGGATGTTCAGCTTCTGTTTGTTTTCTGAGCAGGAGATATTCTCTTCCTCCATGTAGAATAGAATAGCCCTTTATTGTCATTGTACATATACAGTGAAAATTGCACACGCGCCATAAGGTGCTCCATAATCTGCTGTTATGGCACCGGTCCTGGAGTACATAAGCACACAGCCCGCTGCCCATTAACTTACCGGTGTCTTTGTTGCATCCTGGGGCTGGGGAACCAGCAGCTAGTCACCCAGAATGGCTAACTGAAGGCAGGACAGTCCTGATCCCCAAGGACCCCCAGAAGGGACCAATCCCCTCCAACTACCGGCCAATAACCTGCCTCAGCACCACGTGGCAGCTCCTGTCAGGCATCATAGCGGCTAAGATGAACAGGCACATGGGTCACAACATGAGCGGGACACAAAAAGGAACTGGCAGGAATACCAGAGGAGCAAAAGACCAGCTACTGGTAGACTGAACAGTCAGCCGAGACTGCAAGACAAGACTGACCAACCTGTGCACTGCCTGGATGGATTACAAGAAAACCTGACTCAATGCCCCACAGCTGGATCCTGGAATGCCTAGACCTGTCTACAACAGATCAACAGGATCCTAAGAGCCCTCATCAGGAACTCAGTGGGGACGTGGCGAACAGCAATAGAGGCCATGTGTTTTACCACTCCTCTCCTCCTTACCCTTATCTTCCCTGCTTAGCCTCTATGTCCTTGTCTTGTCTCGTGTGCATTACTTTCCCTG